GTTCAGTGTCTATATATATATATATATATATATATATATATATATATATATATATATATATATACATATATATATATATATATATAGCACTAGATAGGGATCGCTGTACCTGTTTTGATCAAAGTCATCTTACCACCAACCCTCCGCCACAGATCGAAACGGTCTTTGTTCAATGGCTACACTTAATCCATTCGGGCATCAAGTTTTGTTGATCGGTGTGTTACTTCGCTGCTTTTCGCACTCCACCAGTTAGTCAACACGTATGAGCTCACCTCTCTTAATTAGCCACATACCATAGCTTCACTGGTCTGTTATGTGGATTTCTGCGATGTTTGCAAACGCGAAACGGAATATAGAGTGGTCCATAGTGGCATAACTTGCGAAAACATGAGTATTATTATTATTATTGTAGTTGGAAATCCGAAAGGAGCAAACCGACGAAAAGTTGGCGGGAATACCACCACCACCACCAATCACACATTGCCAGGCTATCGATTCATGAGACTTGGAATTCATTACGGGTCAAATAGCAAATGTTTAGTTACCTAAAAGTAGAGCCCTACTGAGTGTGGTTGTCCTCCAAATTTCATTCTAGCCTCACCTTTCACCACTCTCCAAAAACTAGCAGTTGACAAAAGTAACTTGCAAGCGTGCTATCGGACGGTGGGAGTCGTCTAGCAGATAAACTATACCATTTCCCGGCCAAGTTGTCCTCTTGGGCAACAGAAATAATCTGAGGGGGCATTCAACATGAGTCTACTCAATTAATTTGTTCCGTGCTTACGCCAGTCACTTGTGCAGGTGTGTAGGTGTGCGTGTATAGCCCGTCGCCTTCAACCAATCGAACCTCAGACGTACTAGGTCATAGGGGTGCAGGTGGGGCGCTTCAGCTCCTACCAGGGACAGTGTCGCTGACCCATGCACCAGCTTGGCCTTTGTTTCTCAAATTAATTGCGTAGACTCATGTTGGATACCCCCTCAGATTAATTCTGTTACCCAAGACGACAACTTGGCCGAGAAATGGTGCAGTGGTTCAGGGGGCCAACCCTTCCTCTGCATGTTTGAAATACGCATGGCAGTGGAGAGGATCAGCAAAACACGTTGCATCACAGCCAATTACTGAGTCGCAGTGAATACCTCTCATCCCCCCCCTGATTCATTGTCTCGATTACGTAAGTGCGTAACGTAAACTCGCATGTTCTGGCTTCGCAGCGGACACATTACTGCTGGCTTCCGGGAGTATGAAACGGCCGTCCAGTGGTGGTTCTCCGCATATGCAGTGCCTATCTGACGACTGGGTGTGTGGCTGTGACGAATTTCTTTCGCGACTTCAATCCAGCTCCCTCATTTCACTCTTTAACAATGGATGTGTCAAAAATTAACAGTTATCGTGTGTCGCATATACACATGCACACACAGTTTAGTTGCGCGACTTTGTGGCTTAGTAAACTACGTAACATGAGTGAAGTACTGCATCGCCAAGTCACTTTTTGAGTTCAGACAGCTTAGCAACGGAAATACTGGAAGTTGTAAGACGGTCACTTAGGTGGAATGCACGAAAGGAGATAACACTCCGGGCGATATCCAAACCGACTATATTGTGTGGTCAAATTTAAATGGCGACTTCTCAGGCGAGGGCGCACGGTCGCGTTGAGTTAAACCACTGACAAGCGGTCAGCCCGTTGTTTCGACGATTCGCGGATACCTTTGCATAAATAAATAAATTTTTTATTCTCGACAACGCGTGACACGTCTGTATACGCATGATAATAGTAATACAAACAGAGTTGATAGATAATGGTACAGAAAGGTAAAATTACCGGCAATATACTGGATCTATGTGTATATGAATATTGTAGGTACGCTGAGGTTGATGTTGCATTCATGATACTTCTTCGCCCCACTTGGGCTAAACTAACTTGCGCTTAATCTAGCTCTTTTTAATCTGGATGAAAGTCATCCTCCTTTATTTGCTTTGTTCAATTCTGTTGTTCTGCTGCATGTTCTGTGTCAATTTTGCGTGTCTGCTTTCCCTCAAGTCCTATGTTGGTTACTTGATATGGGTGTTGGCAATGTACCTACCTGTCGAAAAACCGCTAACTCGGTATTACTGGCTCCAGGAGATAGTTCGTCGTTACTTGGGGAGGCGGGTGCACGGTCTTCGTGACCGCGCTACACTCAAAGTGTGGTTCCTTACATTCATCGTGGAACGAGCTATGGCCCGGTCTCCGCCTTGTTTACGTCTGACACGCATGATTTCCTACATAGATAGCCAGGAATGTTGCTGCTGTGTATGTTGAAGGAGTGTGGGTCAACTCAGTAGGTGAAACTTGGCTCCCGTCCACATGCCTCCCGGTCTTATTCCTTCGGGTTTACACTGGATATGGGGTATGTGGGTGGTGCAGCGCAATCCATCCATGGTCCCTCTGTAGGCACAGGCGTCTTGTGGCTGTCCCCGTGGAGGCCACAATGACAGACAAAGGCATCAGCGGTACCCCGGTACTCAGTACGAACGTTTTATTGTCGCGCGTGAGCTGAGGATACTGCGAGGGTCGCCCGGAGGCTCGGACCCGCGACCTCAGTTTACAAGCCAGGCCACGGACCAGCAAATCCGGAACCGGATGCCGCCAACCATATACATCTTCAACATTTGACCAACAATTGGCAGAGTGACGCAACGCATGTGTAATGTCATAAAATAAGTGCGAAAAAAATCAAAGGAGGATTGTTTCACGACACTCTCCCCATTGAGTACGATTTCGTTTCCATCCAGGGGTGCTCGCTGTTCTTGGGCTCCCAACCCAAGAGTCTTGAACACCTTACTGTGGTCAATTGCAATGCCAGCGCCTAGACCCCTTGGACTTAGGTTGGTCTGTTGTCCACTTTTCCGTCGCTTCAAATCAATGCCGGAGCATGCAAACAAAACGCGGCGGGACAACCGTTGAGCAGCCATACGGAGAACGTACCCGAGCTACCGGAGCGCGCACAAGGTGGGCGGCAAAGTTTATCTGACTTGAAAATCTGTCATCGAACCTCATCAATACTAATTCGGTACTGCCAACGTACACCAGCGGTGCTCAGAAGCAGACAGTCTCTGGACATCGCTGGTTCGAACGGCCCAGGTTTCGCAGCCAAACAGGGACGTTGTTCGTACCGTAGTTTCATAGACTAAACTTTTTATAGACTAGGCTGAAATCACGCCAACGCCATAGATTTCGAAGTTTGGTGAAGGCCACTTTGGCTTTGGAGATACGCAAACTGCTCGTCGGTTGATCCGCTGACGTTAACGCATCCCCAAGCTAAGCGAACTCGTCAACTACTTCCTTACGTAAGCACATTTGTCCATCGCCCCAACGGGAATGAATGCAATCTCATATCCATGTGTCGCGTCTAGTCTTGGCTACCACTTTTCCATACATCAACCGATCAGACATGCGCAGCTGATTCTTTTTTATGCGTCCTTGCTATCCTTTTTACGTCTACTTGTGTTCTTTCGTTTCTGTTCCAGGGGATCTGAGTTTGTGTTACAGTGCCTGCATCTGCCTAGCTCCAAGCAAGCTGACTTGTTCTATCTCATCCGTACCCATTTGAGACGTTGGTCGACGTAGGCGTCACTATTTCTCATCCTAACCTAATTCCGTGTGCTCACGGCACTGTGAGTTGTAACTTGTGGCCTTCCTTTTAGACACATGTTCCCATCCGAGAGCCTCTATTCGTTTACGGCTCCTCACGTGGGGTTGATTCGATCAGCTTTGTCTCCACATACACCTATTTGCTTGATACATCGCAAACAATTAGGAACGATTAAAGCCGTGGCTCTGTTCTTGCACAAAGATGGTGGATGCTAGACACTTCTACACTGCTTTGGGAATTTAACGTCAGTTCCAAAAATTTTCCGGATTAAAATTGTTTGATTACTACTTTTGTCTCTGCTCTTTAGCTCCATCGCTGCGCTCTCCTTGATCGCCCTCTCCACACTGATGTCACTTCCGTCGCCATTGAATGCGATGCAGATCCTGTACATCAACATTCTCATGGACGGGCCACCAGCTCAAAGTCTGGGTGTAGAGTCGCCTGACGAGATGGTGAGTTATCTTGGTAGCGAGGTTTCACTGTTTGTGCACATCATCAGAAACTACTGTTTTTCTGGAGGGTTAAGTGGTGGCCACCGGGAAACCACTGCGACGGATCGGTTGATCTTTATTGATCCGTCGGTCTTCGTCTCTTTTGTTTATCACTTTACGGTTGTGGATATAATTTTGAGATGAGAAGTACAAATCTGTGCAATCCCATCGAAAAGTTACCAAAAATCTAGCAAACAATTCGTCATTTTCAGTAGCCTAGACCTTCCGCATGCTCCCGCATGAAGCTGCCATAATATATGAACACGTTAATAAAAGAGTCACAAATGCCAACTACCATTATTAGCAGAGTCACTATCCGAATCGAACGTACACCAAATATGCATCCCTAATTGTCTGGTATTTAGACACCACTTTTGTCTCGACTGCGTCCAGGCGGACTGTTCTAAACATCAACCACTCGCCACCTGACGCACGGTGAGTGGGTAACGCCCTTTAGATCCAATATCCGCGTGTACTACGTGATGTGCGTAAGTAAAGCAGCGGCTTCAGCATGGGAAATTAACCAAGGTCTTCTTACTGTAAAAAAATCCACAGACTGGGGGTGAGCTTTGTAGCGACTTGTTGATCCCGTCCGATCTTCCGTGCCTTGCTTCGAGTGATCGGATAGTAGACGGACGAGCCGTGCTCTAGCATTGACCTCATCATAAAGGAGAAGAGGTTGCGTTGATCTCTTTGGGTCAAGTGCAGGAGTGGGATCACGGCGCATGTGTTGTCCACCGACTTCAAACTGCAGCTTGCGAGTGTTTTAGGTCCCTAACGGAGTAGACAAAAATTACCAACTTAACCCTTGGGAACGACTTCTGCACACCACCTGCAGAAATGTTTGAGGTCTTACTGAAGTAGGCTGGAGTCTTCGGGAGTAGAAACCACTTTCCACATCTTAATATCCTTTTTAATCAAGGCACACGGCTACTGGAGCGGTCGATGTAGGTCGTTGATGTGCCTCGGGTTTCGCCAGTGGTCGAGAGGTACCAGTTAGTACCTTCCACTTTCGTCCGATGAGGAACTCGTGAATCTACCACTCCATTCACATCACCTTTGTATAGAACGAAGAATCATAAACTTATGGAATACACTACCAGAAGGACTAATAGAAGCCGATTCTGTGAAGTGTTTCAAAACACGTATCGACGATTATTTCGGAAACCTCTGTGTGTGTGTGTGCCTCGGTTGGTTCCTTTCGACTCCTTGGATGGTGTCCAAAAGATGCTGAGTGCCGCTGGGGGAGACCTTGAAAGTCATGACTCATAACCGAAGTCAGTAGCGGTCGTGTATCTGCTTGTTGCAGTGACCCCCTTCCCTCCCCCAATAAAAGGAAAAATATCAAAAATCTCAAAAACTGAGTGAGAAAATGGATAAAGATGTGTTTACTTTCTGGATTCTTTTACTCCAAGCCTGTTTTCCTTGTCCGCCGTGGTTCCGATGACACAATACCTGTACACAGATCGTGATATATATATATATATATATATATATATATATATATATAATGCGGAAATGACACCAGTATGAATTCACAACCGAACAAAGATAAACCATTAACTGACCAGACACTACCGCTGACGATCCGCAATTAAATGTTTTTTTTGATTTTTCATACTTCGATAAAGTTGTACTGAAACTTTTCTACTCGCTGTTAAATACAATCTCAGTCTCAATCAGCTAGCAACATCGCACTTCCTCAGTTTATGGAGAGTATTGTTTTGAGCGCATTTTTTATAGGGTAACTATGCCGGTTGAGAACCCTACTTAATGGAACCTCCCTCCTTACCGTTTAGTCTTTTAGGCTCACATGATCTGTAAACGTACGCTGTCTTTGGACATTGTTATACTTTGCTCAGGTTTGTTGCATTTCGACAAACATTCACTTAGATTTATTCTTTTCCCGTTGCCATAGAGGACTGCTGGTTATTTTGATGAGGCCAATGTACCTATGGTCAACAAACCCCTCCTCCGTCCATTGCTTGTAAATATTCTTACTACGTTGTGCGTAGGATTGTGATGCATACGCGGCCTTTCTTGGAACTATGCTGTGCGAGTATTAGGAGACTTTTTGACTAGAGAAGCTGCAGCAGTTCCTTTGTCATAAGTAGAGGTCAAACAATTCGGTGGACATTTTGTTAATGATTTTGGACTCAATAGCTTTCAACTCAGCTAACATCCCATGAATCTGGAAAACCACTAGGCAATAAGTAGCACTGCCCTTTCGGTTAGATCATCCTTGACTTCGAAGTCATGACGGTTTACCACTATCATCCGTGGCTTAGTGGCTTAGGTTACTGCTTTCCAGGAACCATAGTGAAACCAAAGGAAGTGCATTATTGGCAAATCCCGGTAGGATGAAATGGCCGTCTGGTGCTTTTCAAAGATGTTATCTGAACATTAACCCATTGAGTAGGTCAGTCACAGCAGTTAGTTGATGATCAACGACGACCGCAACCGGCATGACACATCTTTTCATCTCCGTTATCGAGCTCGGTAGGAGCAGTACACCTTGAGCTCAAACTAGATACCGTCATCGCAGGCGCATACTCAGTGCTGGAGTTTACGATACCAACACTATCTTCTCTTTCTGGAGCCAGATGTGATCGAGAGTGCTATTGGGACAATCATCCTGGTAATTTATTGGTCCTAGTAATCGCTCATATCTGTTACCGGGTCAAAGAAGCTGTGCATGTGTTTCTTAGCACATACTTAGTCCTCTCCATCCATCTGCTGATTGGATACACTCCTCCAAAGCAAGGTTTCGGGGTGCATCCCACGATCCCCGGTTCGATCGAACAATAACAACCAGAAAACAGGGTGAATATCTCCTGAGCAAGTTGCGATTTAACTACAAAATTGCTTTGGTCGCATGCGCAATACCCATTAGGCTAGATGGATGTCTGTTAGCCGATTTTATTCTTGCTTTTTGATTACACTTCGCGCCTCTACAGTGCTTTGTCCTAGTTTTCTGGCCGACGCCAGTGTTGCTCTGCCTCCCAGTGCACTTACCATAGTCTTGAACATGGACTAATTCTAGAAATGGGAGCACTGATCCGAATCAGCAGTCTAGTCCTTTTGCAGCCTTTGTAGCGTCTCATGCTCCAGTCGGTAGTTGTGTTTGCTTCAACCACCTTATATCGCTTCGTATTTTTAGATCATCAGACAACCCCCTCGAAGTGCACAAGATCCAATACTTGACCGACGGCTTTTAATCAACGTGCTAATCGCATCTGCAACCATTGTGACAGGAACCTTCGGGATTTTCTGGCTCGAACTTTCGGACAATCATGTGACACCAAGAGACACCACAATGACCTTCACTTGTTTCGTTCTATTTGACATGTTTAACGCGCTGAGTTTCCGATCTCAGGTTAGTTGGCAGATATCTGCTTCGCACAGCGTTCATTTGCTTGGTTCAGGTTCATTTTTGTACCTGTTCGTTGCCTGTACCATCATACAACAGCCATCTGCAGCCCTGAGACGCTTAAAAGAGAAATGACGTCCATTTTCAACACCCTGCAAGAAAATGCATATTCCATCCTATTCATTAAGAAGCATTCCATTCCACCTGAGGCTGCCAACTCTGTCATTACAGTGCCAAAAATGGTTGTATTCCTTGCAGTCCCTTCCTTAAAGGTGACATTGCTTTCGAAATGTTAAAAGCTTTCAACCGCAGTGGCCCAGACGTATCCAGCTGCTGAGCTAAGACTAATTGCTAAAATCAAACCATTGATTCCTCAGCACTTAAAGGACAAACTCCTAGTGCGGTCCGAATTCTTCATCTTGTATCGATTCACTTGCAACTGTGTGCAAGGTATCTTAAACACACGTCCAGATACTTGTTCAACCTGATTTGCTGAACACTGCTGTGCATCACTGCGGAAAAAAACAGGGAAGAAAGTCAACAGTTTTACACTGCAATACGTGGTAGAAACTGGCCATCAAGTTCGGATGAATGAGCTGTTTAATGTCATCTATGCCATCCCTAGACGCTACCCCAAAAAAGCTTAAGAAACATCTATTGTCCATCGCAGAACCCATCACAATCAGGGTATTGAAACCAGAGCTGTGTGCACAACGTGCGCTGTGTTACAAGCTTTGAGTTTGCTTTGACCGTGAACTCGCTTCCACATTAATTATATTCAATGTTGCTCACGTGTATTTGTGTATACTGCATGGTCCGATTGAGTAAATCACCGGTAAATATCAGCAACTGAGTGGGATCTTCGCTGATAATTTAGACCAGCATTGGATATTCAGCTTAGTTCAGTTCTTTCTCTTTCTTGCCTATTCACCGTTTTTAGACCAATCTCTGACCTTGTATTGTTCATTTTGGAGATGTTTATTTCACTTCTCCTACATTCATCAACATTGATTAGAGCGATCCTCCCATGTGCTTCGCCTTTACGGGTGTGGCACTAGCAATAATTCACGATCAATAAGACATGCCTGCTCCTAGGGGGGGGGGGGGAATCAGGTCATTCCCCGATTTGTATTCCTGTTATGCACATTAATCGAACTGTGCAGAACTATACATATCAGTTCTCTTGCGTACAGGCTCTCGAGCATAAGTCAGAGTTCCTCACTCTCGACTGGGTTTGCAGCGTGTGAGCAGCTGACGGAAACAGAATATTGGTGACTAGTGTTAATGGCAGACTGACAAAAATGTGGCCTTGAGACAAAGTGCATGCAAATTGAGCAACTTAACAACGCCACTCGTTCGAGAAGGTAATACGATCTAAAGCGCGAAAAGGGTGTTATTATCTAAGAAAGATGGAACGATGTGGGAATAGTAGCACCGAGTCATAAAGAGGGAATGATCCGTCTGGCGCGTGCTGCATCACGCAGACGACACCCGACAGGTGAACACTTGAAAATATTGTTATGTTACTAACGCACTATCAGTAATATCAATTTATTGTACACTTCACTCACATTTTTGTCTGTGGTACTCAAGGATGTCGACATTGATAATAAGATAATTGCATTCGATTAGTTTGTGGAACGACTCGGGAATTGTCTGTGCACTTTAATTGGTGTGAGGACTAACGCAGCATATTCAAGTGTCTCTGTACTAGATGATTAACTCATTTGCGGACCCCGGCAATTCGATCAGAATATGGTGGAACCGTCCTAGCGTTGCAGAAATTCCAAGCCAAATGTGAAGTGTTTAGCTTCACCGGTAGAGTAGCGTGTAATTATTACCGAATTGATTGGGGGTTCACCGATCCGGATTTTGAGGTCCACCTGCAAGTCAAGAAACCGTTTTATGTACCCAGCATGAAATTCAAAAAACTGATTCAATAATTGAAAAAGAATAATACTATCATAGAATAACCCGGTTTTTTAATCCTTGGACAACTTTTTTGGGCTAACAAAAGTCGTGCTAGATAAAGGATAACTGACGAACGGTACACTCGTGTACGGGCATATATAGATTTGTACTTCTGTCTACTTGACCAGGTTGACACGTATTCAGACAATACACAAAGGAGAGAGTGACTTGTGTTGGCAAGTACTGTTGATGCTAGTCACTTGCAAGAATCGACCTGAGTGAATACAAGTATATCAACGAACGTCAGCTTCGATACACCACTGCATCGCGACAACTGTTTTAACGACCTGCAGCTTAATCTCAGGTTATTAGCCATTATACCAGGAAAATTACCGCTTAGCAGTACGTCCAGCGTGGAACAATACTAGCAGTGACAAAGCGAAGTATGAAATCACAGACTTTTGTGAACGTTTCGCTTATATGGGGGGGGGGCAAAGGTAACTCGAAGTTAAGCGTGATACCCAAATACTTCACCGATATGGAAGAGTGCAACCTCTCGCCATTGGTGTTGATTTCCAGACATTGCTAGAGATGTTGTGTATATCGATCTCCCCTGTGCCGTGAAAAATTGGCACTATTACATTTTGACACGTTATGTGGTAGCACACGGGTCTTTGGCTAAACGTTAAAATTGTTAAAAATATCGTGCTCTGACCGAAGAGGCAGTCGTCGATCAGTTGACGTCCAAAACAACGTCATCTGTGTATTTCATCATCGTTGCCTCCCCTGGGACTGGTATTAAGCTTACATAGTTAGAAAAGAGAAATGGGAATGGAATGACTCCCTGCGGAACCCCAGTGTTTGTGATTAGGGGCGAAGAGCTTCTGCCTCCAAATTGGGTTATCTGAGTACGTCAGAACGACAAGTTAGCGAACAAGCTCGTTTTCGGTGGCTCTCGTCAGGCTAAAACACCACAACTGATAGGAATAAGATTAACATAAAACAGCAGATAATGGTAGAGTTCAAACTTCAACGTCATTGGAAAACAGATCAGAAGTGATCGATGGACTATCGGCGGCATGTCCCTCAACGAGTCGTTGTGATAGAGGGCCAGGGCAAACACAGAATCTGAACGAATCGTTTTTGAGCACATAAGTCTGGGTTCTGGTGGCGGATAGCAATTGCCTCAGCTGCTGCTAGTAAGCGACATTTTACCGCACGTGCAAGACGTCCAGGTACACGGTAAATGGGTTGGAAAGATTGGCGGGTGTCGATTTGGTGATTAGAATCAACCAAGTGTGCCAACACGGCGCTCATCACAGTTTTTCTTCCAACATTGCGTAGGTTAGCTGGACAATGCTCGCGTATTCTCTCAGACAGCCTTCTAGTAGTTCTTCCGATGTATCTTGCTCGACATGAACAAGAGAAGGATTATACACAATAGGAAGTACGTGACCAAGGAAGTCTGTGTTTGCGTTGGGGCCTCACGATTGGTGTTGAAGTAAAACTTAGCCGCAAGCTCGCTGCGTAGTACGTATGGCTTATAGCGTCGGATAATCTTCTAGATGTTGCCTGCGCTATACCATCCCCCTTAAACGTCAACGACCGGTAAAATAATCCCTCAAAAGATGAACGATGAAGGGATGTTTTCCAGCACCGAATGTGCAGACAACTTGGACTGGGCAATGGATGTTTCATCAATCGGATTGTTATAACAGTTGCAGAAGTCACGGTTCAGTTTGTCCACATCTACCTCGGAGGTTGATGTACGTCGAATAATCCCGCTTAGTCGTTCTTCACGGCAGCTAATATTCTCCAGTATAGCCTGAACGTACACGTTGTTGAGACGGTACAACTTCTCCTTTATAAGAACAGATAGTGAATTTACTAAAATGTTGTATTTTCCTTTGAAAGCTTCCTCTTTTTGTCTACGTAGCCGCTTTAGGTGGGGTGAAGAGAACTTGTCCACACTGATGAACAGAGTTTCGCATGGACAGAAAATATCAAGGCAAAAGTTCAAATAACTTGTCAACTGATAGCAGCATATGGATATACCAGTGTCAAACACTAAACTAAAGTTGGTGGATGATACCATTTCTCGCAGTCGGTCACTATTCTGTGCGGAACACCTAAAATTGCGGTAGACCACAGGACACAGTTTAATTGTTGAGTGATCTGAGCTACCTAAAGGTGTCCTATTTCACTCGGTGAACAGCTTTATCTTGCTAACAAATACTAGATTAGTGGTTTTCAACCTGGGGGTAATTACTCCCAATGGGGTAAAATGGAGTGTGACGCCTGGCAAATATAACCACGAGGATTGGGTCATCAATCTGTCGCTAGATACAATTAATAACAAAATAATGCGTAACAAAACATGTAACTAATTACCGAATCACTATTGATTCGCCGTCAATGCTTAGGCATTAGTAAGTGGTTAATGAATTAGCTACTTTTAGGTAATAAATCTTGTTATCTAAAATACATATACAAGCCCGCAAAGCATCGTAGCTATATGGCGTCTCTATCGACTCGCCGGTCGATCATCCTTCCTCTGATTCAGGCGGTCTTCTGCCCGATCGATTTACAGAGTTGGGTAAACACTAAGGTGGAAACGTAGGTCAGCCAACCAGGTAAGGGAGCGAACGAATGTTTACAAGGTAGAAAGGACAAAACAGGCGGTTTGTGTACAGAGCGCATCGATACAGATTAGTAGTGGGATCCTGTCATTCAGGCCGGACTTTGAAGGGCTGGTTAAAACAACTAAGAAGCCACTGACATCTGTTCACGTTGGTTCACGGATCACACACCAAAAGAAGAAAACGAATGAAATCGAAGCACAGCATACGATGGGCATCAACCGAAACCATTGCTTATTGAAACGGAGTGGTAACAATCGTCTCTCGATTTAATACAACGTTGCTCAAGACTTGGTACAGTCCGACCACATATCTATGGCGACCAGTCAAAAATATCCCCAACGGTTTTCCTATATTTTCTCATTGGTCTTAACCTGTTTATGGCGTCCACCTGTCTAACACAACCGCGACCACACTTTTGTGGTCCTAAGGCGTTCCAGCACCTGCTCAAGGCAA